TTTAAATAAGTAATATTTCTTGGGAAATTTGTCAAATTGGTTCCTATCATTTTTTTTTTTAAAAAAATTTTTTAGTCCCTAACATTTAAAATCAACCAAAATAGTTTCTAACATATAAATTATGAGCCAATTTGGTCATAATGCTCGTATTTGCTTATTTTTCTGACTAAAAACGACACACCTATCTCACATGGGCATAATTTCAAGGACAAAATCGGAAAACATTCGTTAATTCATGGTTTTACTGGCAAAACCTCCATTGGGTTCCTATAACTTTTCTCCCTTTCCCTCGACACCATTTTACAAACTAGTTGGAAACCATCAACAAATTTCACTTTCTCAGCCAAAGCAGCTTTTGCACTTTCCTCATTCTTATACAAAAGATAAGCAAACCCTCCTGATTTCCCTATCCCTATATCAAACCCCCAAGGCCCTTCTTCAATTTCACCAAACCTCTCAAAAGAACTCAACAAAGTCTCAGAACTCATCTCATTTGGTTAGCACATTCTCCACCAATTTTATTGCTGACAAACCCATCAATTTTATTGCAAGGGTTTTCTAGGGCAAGCATGGAAGACTCAACATTCTTGAAAGTAACAAAACCATAGACTTTTGATAAAGATTTTATGGCAGGATGGGATGTCATCAACGATGGAAAGAACGGTATGGAGAATGCTGGGATGGACAATGGCAGCTTCTGAAGGATTTCAACAAGCTGGGATTTTGTGAAGGACTGCAAAATGTTGTGAATGATTTGTTTTTCTTGGTTTTCAACATTCAATGAAACTTCAAGTTTTCTAGTTCTCTTGAGATCATCAGGCTTTCGGTTAGTGGTGATGGTGGAATACATCTGATGGAGTAGGTGTAGGGAAAATGATTCAAGATTGACTCTAGGAGGAGTGGGTGAAGTTTTGGAAGAGTAGTCATTGAGAGCTTGAGTTTTGAAGAGAATACTTTCGTTCCTTCAGAGTCTAAAACCATGGATTAACGAAGGTTCTCCGATTTTGCCCTTAAAATTAAGTTCACGTGAGAGATGTGTGCTATTTATAGTCGAAAAAATGAGCAAATACGAGCATTAAAACCAAACTAGCTCATAATTTATATGTTAGAAATTATTCTGGCTGATTTTAAATATTAGGAACTAAAAAAGTTTTTTTTTTAAATGTTAGGGACCAATTTGGCAATTTTCCCATATTTCGTTTTGGTTCTTAAACAAAGTAATATTACATTCATCTTCTTGCTTCCTTGCTTTTACCATCCCTGTGGTTTCTTCTGTTCCTTCAACATGGAGGAAAACAGCATAGCTGATGGCCGATCAAGCTAGTGGTACATGTTTTTTAACCACCTCTTTTGCCCATTGCCGTTCTCTCTTCTTTTTCGTTGTTTTCTTAATTGTTCTTCTTAATCTTTAGACCTACTTTTGTGTGTGCGCGCGCGCGTGTATATATACATACATATATATATCTCAATTAAATTAATACTGTATATCTAGTGATAATTGGGAAGGCTTTTAAAGTTTCTCATGATTGTTTTAGAGCCTTATAACATATGGACGTATATGTGCCATGGTACGTACGTATTTCTGGAAAAGGAAAAAAAAAATCATGGACTTCTATGATGTTGGGACACTAGAACATGGTTATTTTTCTTTAATTTCGTTTCACGTTTGCATTTGTAGTTATCTATATTTGTGTGTACAGTTTACGGAGTTCGTGTATGTATCACTGGTCCTATATTTTTGGACTTTTTTTAAAAATGAAAATTAGCTTTGCATTAAATCTCATCATAAGCATACAAAAGGGTATAATGCTACCCTACCAGTCCCCCAAAAAAAAAAAATTACACGAGAAGAAGCCAACCTACTACATCACTAAGGAAATCAAACACAAGATGCTAGTTGCTACATAACAAAGTATGGGCCTGTTTGGCATCCTAGTTTTTTACCAAGTTTTTTACCTACTAGTTTTTTAACAACTTTTGCTACAGGAACCCCAAAAAACTTTTCAAAATTTTTTACCTACACATTTCAAAAATCTATACACAAACAATTTCTCAAAAACTTTTCTTCCTCCCTCACCCAACCCACCACACCAGACACCGCCTCCACCACCTCTCCCGGCGCAGCCGGTAACCTCAAAATTTTTTTTTGAATTTTTGAGTCCCTCACCCTCAAAAATTTATTATATATTTATATATTTATTTAAACATATTATAAATATTTTATTTTATTTAAAATATATTTTTATATATTTATATAAATAATATATACCATATAAATTAATATTAATATAAACATGTAATTATACATTTATATAAATATTATATATTTAATATATATAAGACATATTATATATATTACACATTTATGTATATATATTTATGTATATTTATATATAATTATATTATGTATAACATAATACATTTATACATAATATTAACACACAATATTAATTATACATTTATACATAATACTAATACATTTATACATTTATATTAATTATATTAATACATTTATACATAATATTATATATTTACATATTTATAATATATTAATTTATATATTTATATAATATTCATTTATAATAATATACAATTATTACATTTGTAAATATATTTATATTATGTATTATATATAATATAATACATTTATATATTTTTATATAACTATATAAATATATTTATTTATAAATGTATTATAAATGCATAAATATATATATAAATATTTAAACAATAAAAATTATAAATTATAAACAATATTAATTATACATTTATACATAATATTAATACATTTATACATTTATATTAATTATATTAATACAGTTATACATAATCATCATATATGTTTATAAATTATAATTTATACATTTATATAATATTCATTTATAATATATACATTTATATTAATTATACATTTATACATTTATAAATATATGTATATTATGTATTATATATAATATAATACATTTATATATTTTTATATAACTATATAAATATATTTATTTATAAATATTTATAAATGTATTATAAATGCATAAATGCATATAAATATTAAAACAATAAAAATTATAAATTATAAACAATATTAATTATACATTTATACATTTATAAATATATGTATATTATGTATTATATATAATATAATACATTTATATATTTTTATATAAATATATAAATATATTTATTTATAAATGTATTATAAATGCATAAATATATATATAAATATTTGAACAATAAAAATTATAAATTATAAACAATATTAATTATACATTTATACATAATATTAATACATTTATACATTTATATTAATTATATTAATACATTTATACATAATCATCATATAAATTTATAAATTATAAATTATAAATTATACATTTATATAATATTCATTTATAATTTATACATTTATATTAATTATACAGTTATACATTTATAAATATATGTATATTACGTATTATATATAATATAATACATTTATATATTTTTATATAAATATATTTATTTCTAAATATTTATAAATGTATTATAAATGCATAAATGTTTAAAAATGTAAAAATATAAAAATTATAAATTATAAAATACTCAAAAATATGTTTTAAAAATACCTCTAAAAATAATCCAAAAAACGTCTACAGTAACATTTCAAAAACTTCTACAAAAAAGTTTTTCACCTTACAAAAACTTCTACAAAATTTTTTCAAAAACTTCTACAGTGCACTACAGTAAAATTTTAAACAAACTCCCAAAAAACCCAGGTTCCAAACAGGTCCACAGTTTAAGGTATGCATTTTATCAAATAGAAGACGCAGCCCACATATAATAGTGAATAGCTAGCTTTTTTTTAGTGTGTTAATGATTTTCACAGGCTTATCTTCTGGAGTTGCTTTAGTCAAAATTGGATTGAAACGAGTTTTAAGCAGCTTCAAATCTCTTGAAATTCAAAAATTCTGAAGGAGATCTCCTCAGTCAATATCGATAACGCCTTCTTGCTGATTCTCCCTCTCTTTCCCCCTTCCTAATGAATGAAGGCGTGGTCTTGACAGTCTACCTCTACGTTTTGATGCCAAGGAGCAATTTCCAACAATCATCCATTATTATAATTGCTAAGGTTGTTGTCATGCCTCTTGCTATCCACTATTCTGAATTTATTGTGCTTTTCAAAATAAACCACCAATTAAAGGCGTCAGTAATTTTTATCACCAAAAAAAGGGAGTCAATAATAATTCTTTCAAATGCAATATACGTTCAATAATTGGACCTTATGTTATTGGGTTGCAAATCACCAATGCTGTTATTATTGATCGGATTGTGACTCAATGGTGTGTTGGTGCACCAAACAAAAATATCGCATTTGTATAATTTCTATTTTATCAAAATTGATCTTACATTTTTGTAATAAATATACAGACAATCTGATTAAATACCTTTTTTTGTGGCTGGTTGGTTATTTAGAATTAATTTTTTGGCATTTAATGGACAAAGAAATTGTACAAGAATGGTAAAGGATGGTAGAGAAGTTTAGATTAAAATGAAAAAAAAAATTAGAGAAGTTTGAGTGATAATTGAGCTGAATCAATTCAAACTTTATTTATACCCAACAAAAAAGTTTGGATAAATTTATGGCAGTGGGATTAGTGTATTCAAATATCAAACTTAGCATGAGATTTTTTTTTTCAACAAATTGGAACCACTTTACTTTTCCAATTACAGGTACAACTGAAAATTTAAAAAATGATTATTATGGTGCTTTTCCTTTATATGTATATCGTTTGGATATATTTGGAGTCAAATTCGAGTTATTTGATGTAGATAATCAAATTCAAGCACGAGTCAGTTGAATGCATTTTAGTTTTGTGCAAAGAAAAAAACCATCTATCTATATTCAAGCCAAGGAAATTTTTTTAAAAAAGAAAAAAATCCTCAAAGTCCAGCATTTTGGGGTGTAAATTGAAATTGATGAAAGCTTTTAAAATAGTCATAAAAATAATACTCCCAAATCGAACAGCCCAAATATGTGAGTACATTACTAGCTGTCTTTGGCCTTATTTACACGTCTGCCCAAATCGAACAGCCACGGCAACCATCCCGCCACCACCTTTACCACCGCCACCGCCACCGCCACCGCCACCGCCGTAAAAGCTCAAGGCTTCATAGAACAGACACATTCACACACTTCACTCGCATATACACATTCTTCCAATTTCCTGCGAAAGCAGTGCTTTAGTAATAAAATATCACCACCCCAGGGAAAAAAACCACTGACAAACACCTCCAGCTCCGCCGATGTCGGCGGCGAAACCCACACAAACCCCGCCAACAGCTGCCATCTGCACTCTTCAGGGGTCCCTCCTAACTCTAGCCATTGTCACTCTTCTCTCATTCACTTGTCTCTCTCTCAAATCCCTTAATTCCCCTTCTATCTCATCATCTACACCACCTTCCACCACTCTTTTCGCCCCTCAGGTACATATTTCTACTCACTCTTCCCATCCCGTTGATAAAAATCCTCTGAATCGAATACCCTTTTCACAAATTCTAATCTTTTGATGATTCCGCAGGTGCGTGTTGTAGATAAAGATGGAATCAATCAAGCCGAGAGGGTAGAGGGGGAAGATGAAGTGTCGTCCGATGTATTTCATTCGCCAGAGGTATTTCGGTTGAATTATGCGGAAATGGAAAGGAAGTTTAAGGTGTACATTTACCGGGATGGTGATCCCAAAACTTATTATCAGACGCCGAGGAAGCTGACCGGGAAGTATGCAAGTGAGGGCTACTTTTTTCAGAATATTAGGGAGAGTAGATTCATTACCGATGATCCGGATAAGGCTGACTTGTTTTTCATCCCAATCTCTTGTCATAAGATGAGAGGACTGGTATAGTGTGCTTAAGTTTGATTAGTTGATGTGCATTGATATGGATGCTGATGTTTTTTGCTTTCTTGGTTCAGTTGATTTTAACTTTTTCGGTGAATGAAGAGAAGATGATGTAGTTGAGTGATAATATCCAAGGACTGGTTTTGATTTGCAAAAGTGTGTTGCCATGTAAGGTTTTCTACTGACAGGGGGCACTTGGCAGGAAAATGGCCCTGGAAAGAATGAAATATAAATGACTTTTTTGATAGTATTATTTTGGGTACATTTACTTGATTTCTTAAGGTGAAAGGGTCTTTGCATACACAGACACCCTGAGTTGGAATTGAAAAAGTCTTGTTGATATAGACTATTTAGCAGTTGGATTTAGTAGTAGCATTTGTTTGTACCTGAACTAGTCTTCAAGTTCATGATCTTACATGATACTCTATCTTGCCCCGTAGTGCGTAATGTATTGGGGACATTTAAGCTTGCATAATCTGAATCTTAAAAGGTGTACCCGTTTACAATACAAAGCAATTACTTTGACATTCAGCTATCTGTCTGGTCCTTCTGTATATCTTAAACCTAAAGTAAGGAGATTAAAAGTTGGATTGCATAAGCAAGTCCATGTAGCTTGTGGCTTCCTTTGCCTACTGGTTCATATTAAACTCAACCGGAAGTTTCTTTTTTGTTTTTTATTGGACAGTATTGTATTAATGCTGCAATTTTGTTGCCAGCCACTTCTAAGGTAATTAGAATTATCATGTAAGCCTTGATATATGAGATGCTTGTACATAATATATCTACTTTCTGCAAATGCTGTTATGATTTCAAACTCCTTCCAGTATGATAGGGTAGATGTCTAAACGATTGTTCCAGTAAATCAAATCAATATTCTTTCCCAAGATGTCCTTGGATTTTGTGACATAGCTTGATGATTTCATGATGACATTTCAGGCTACATCATATGAAAACATGACCGTGATTGTGAAGGAGTATGTTGAGAGTTTAATAGCCAAGTACCCTTATTGGAATAGGACCCTGGGTGCAGATCACTTCTTTGTAGTTTGTCAAGATGTTGGAGTCAGGGCAACAGAAGGACTTCCTTTTCTTGTGAAGAACTCAATACGGGTTGCATGCTCCCCAAGCTATGATGTTGGGTTTATTCCACACAAAGATGTTGCTCTTCCCCAAGTGCTGCAGCCTTTTGCCCTTCCACGGGGAGGAAATGATGTTGAAAACAGGTAGCAGTGTCTTGGTTTCAACTTGGTTGTGTAATATATGTATTGATTTTATGCTTCCTGGTTAGATGAGATTTATTGTTTGAAAGTATACTGGGTTTTTCGTATACCTCACTTATTATTATTATTATTATTATTTCGGGTAAAAGCTTCTGCTTTCATCTCAGAAGTGCAAATTTTAGTGGTCAGGCATATTTTCTTGTTTGTCATTTACCTGGACTTGACTGGGTTGCTTGCTTATTTATTTTTTTGGGTTATACTCACACTGCGATCCCACAGTAAGTACATTAACTCAGAATGCAACTTGAAAAGTACCTTGGGCTAGTTTTAATCTGATACAGGAAAGCAACCCTTATTCTGCTATTAGATTTTATGTATGCTTACTTGGTTTATCACATCATTGTCTGATCAAGTTCAACAACAGTACAGCTTCTGTATGGTTCAGGGAACTATATGAAGTAGACACCTTTTAAAGGTATTACCTTATAATTAAATGATTAATTATGTGTAGCTAACAATATAGGTGTTTGCAGGACCATACTTGGTTACTGGGCTGGTAGTAGGAACTCTAAAATCAGGGTTATTTTGGCACGTGAATGGATGAATGACACAGAACTTTATGTCAAAGACAGCAGAATAAGCAGGGCTACTGGAGAACTGGTGTATCAAAAGAAATTTTACAGGTCTAAATTCTGCATCTGCCCTGGTGGCTCCCAGGTCAATAGTGCTCGCATAGCAGATTCCATACATTATGGGTGTATTCCTGGTAACAACATAATTCTTTAATATGTAGTATCCTTTAACAACTTTCTCTAATTGCTTGTGATGCATGATAAATTTGGAAATACGTTATGGAATAATATGCATGGCTAGCTTTGACTTTAGAGCTAAATGCAGGCAGCAACCTGGCATTTCAGTATTCTTGTGACAGTAGAGTAACACTTTTTGAAAGCAATGGGGGTTGCACCTTGTCTTTTACCTACTCCTAGTAGGAGAATTGGTGGGTTCTTAACTTTATCTACTTTAGCAATTAAGCAATCAGAAAAATTGCACGGGTCTCTTGTTTCTTTGATACAGAATCTTTCCTAATCCAATTCCATGCTAGATTGAAGAACAGAGAGAACAGCCTTAGCACAAGATGGGTTCCAGAGTTACTGAGTAATCAAGTGAAAATACAGTCTGCAGTTTTATTCTGTTGGCTGGTCACCTGATTTGGGGAGTCAAGGGTTAAATTTGTCTTCAGTTGGAGTCTGTGTTACTGACTGGTGCTCCACCTTGAACATGATACCCCAGATGGAGCTTTGTAGTTATGGCGACATGTGGCCTGTGTTCTTACACGTTACCCAGCTAAGGGAGAAGTGATATCCGAAAATTGATTATTTTCCTGTTTACTATCATATTGTGGGACATTAGGACTTTGTTTACTATTGTATGTCCTATTTGTGAATTATGTGCCTTTTTTGTATGACTTGGCTCATTTGTTTCTGGATTCTTTGTTGAAGTATCTGATTATTTCTCTAATTGGATGGGCGTATTTTGTGCAGTGATACTTTCTGACTATTATGACTTGCCATTCAATGACATCCTTGACTGGAAGAAATTTTCAGTCATTCTCAAGCAGAAAGATGTTTATCAGCTGAAGCAAATCCTCAAAAGCATAACTCAAACAGAATTTGTTTCTTTGCACAATAATCTAGTCAAGGTAAGGCTGGCCACTCTCTGCTGGAATGGGATTTCTTTGGGGTGGAAAGGGGGAGGGGAATTTTCAGGTATTTCTGTTCTACTGAAGTCTTTTTGGCTACAGCAACTTCCTTTATAGATATTCTAAACTAAGGGGTTAGATGCATTGTACATACAAAGAGGCTGGTTTATACATATTAAACAAAAGAATGTTTTCTTGGTTAATTGCATGGTGGCACTGATGATCGCTTTGTTTTCATGCAGATTCAGAAGCATTTTCAGTGGAATACACCTCCTGTCAAATACGATGCTTTTCATATGGTCATGTATGAACTCTGGTTGCGCCACTATTTGATCAAGTACTAAATTACAAGTTCGTCGCCATATGTTGCCTCTGAACTTGTTGGGAGATGGCTACGGAGCAACTCTTGTATTGTAAATTGCTTGTTAACAGTTTGTTGTGTTGTATCCAGTTATCAACAAAAACTTTGACAAAGAAGAGGAAAGGAAGTTGTATTCTAGTTTTTAACTCGCAGACGGTACAGATTATGAAGGCATGACTGGGCGTTTATTACTGTTTTTTGTTTCTTTTATTCATTTAAGGATCTTAATCAGTTCTTTTTTGTATATATCAATGAACTCATTGATAACCTCATTGAAATTGGACAAAGTTTACAGCTCTTGATTGCTTTATTTAGATATTTCATTTGTAGGGTCAATCCCAAAGAAATGCAAGTTTGTTTGGATATTCCAATTATCTCAAATAATATTTCGCTTGCATTATAGACACATTTTTCAACTCATCTTTTATATTTTCAACCATTTTTTGATTTTACATATATCACATTACAAAAAGCGCTACAGTAATTATTCTAAATAATATTTCAAATAATACACTGTCCAAACAAATCTGTGTTTGATGATGGTTCTTTATGTGACTCAAAGAGTAATGTGTTCTGATGCCGACACATTTCAACACTAAAGGACTTAACAGTGATTCTTCAATATTCTCCACCACACAATCGAGCTAAAGATGCGACTGCTTCTAACTGCAAGTAATGCTATCGATTTCAATCTCGCCAGTTCTCTGGGTATGGTTGAATTCTGCTCTTGGCTCAGATTCTGCTTCATCGTGGTGGTTTGAATCTGCATCAAAATCCGAGGAGCCTTGGGAAGCGGTTTCTGGCTTCAATATCAAGTATGCCAACAGTGCAATGTATAGTGTAATTAGCGGAAAGATTAGAAGTCCTGAAAGAATGCTTGCAGCCTTGGGCATCTTCTTGTTTGTAATCCATCCCAGCAGACTTGTACTCAAGAAATATATGTTGATCGCAATTGAGCAAAGTCCCAAGAGCCAAGTGCACAGAGATACCTGTAGAAATTAACTCGCTGATTGATTTGCAGGAGAGTGACCAAAGTATCCTCCCCACCACCCATAATTCAGCCTCGCAGGTATAGAACACTAGGTTATAACTTTACCACAATAGAATTCTTATGGAGCCCCATTTTTGCCGCACTGCCTGTGAACTTGAGCAGGGGAATTAGTGCAAATGGGAGCTCAAAGGACAAGATCATCTGTGCTCCTCCCAAGCATAGATCCTTTGTTAGACATTGTTTCGCTCACATGGTTAATTACCAATATTAAGTTAAAAAGTTTTGACGTTACAGAAGCAATGATGATTAGCCTGCCAGCTCCTGCAGATCCGCCTACACTGCAGACCACCAAGCTTGGAGCTATGGCAATGCATCTTGTTAGCAAATTTCGCAGCCACAGCTTCATTCTCAAATCTAAAAAACCCTGCAAAATAACGTTTCACTAGTTTTATGGTTAGTGTTGTTCTCTGCCCTGATATATGTTTCTTTCTGCAAATTTTACCTGCATAATATACTGGCCTGCATAGGTTCCTGTAACAGTTGAACTCTGACCCGAAGCAAGCAAAGAGATAGCATAGAGCTTTGAGCTCCACTTGCCTAAAGCGTCCTGTTTCGACATGATAGGTTAAGAATGAACAAACATTCTTTGATGATTCCATTGATCAATACTGTTGTCAACAATGAATTCAATGTAGGATTAGTCTAGCTAGCAGGTAGACCTTAAGCAGAAAAGCAGCGGAGTCAAGAGTGATATTTTTGCATTGTTTCTTGCTCTCTGAGGAGATATTTGGATATGAGCAAACGCTACCACTAACAGCTATAACTGCAACATTTATCAGGAATGCAAATAAGAGAGCTAAACTGCTTTCGAGCAAGAAGCATCTGCTTGCGCTCTGTCAAAGACTCACAATAGAGGAAATGCAAGTCAGAAATAGCCTTAAAATCTGTTTATGATAGATATAGGCAGCATTGAAATATTCCTTTAAAGAATTGATTAATTGATGGATGGCTGGTAACTTCACTCACCCTGATACCATCTGGGGAACGGGTTATCTTTCTGGAGATGACTAAAGCCGAATGAAGAAAAAGATTGTGCCTGCATCAGAAGTGGTGATTCACGAATAAGTCTAAATCAACAATTCAACTTAAATCAAGGCTGGAGAATCTTGCGAAATTACGGCATGATCAAGGCTCCTAAAAGAGCAACAGCATCTCTTGTGGCACTTCCACCGCTCAATCTGGGAATAACCAACCCCATAGCAATCTCCTTAACACTAGGCCTAGCATGCACCATCACAGAGAAGAAGCAACCACCCAAGACCAACAATAGTATGCTGATTACGCCTTCAAGCAACCTTATCTGCAAGAGCAATGGAAAATTATTGGAAAAGAAGCCTAAACGCTATCTCTAAAATGGACCTAGCGCATAAATGAAAGTTCCAAAACTGATTTCTTGCTCTATAATTACTCACGCCATAGCGCTGCAAACCAAGCAAAACAAGAGTGTTTAGACCTGCTAGCAACACCCCTGACCATATTGGTATCCGGAAGAGAATGTTGAGTGCAAAAGCTGTGCCAATTACTGCATGAAAGACCATAAAAATTTATGATGCAAATTTTCTCAATCTATACAAGCCCTGAGAATATCTGTTCTGATAATTTTCCACGTTCTTACTGAGTAGAGAATATAGTATCCGAACCTTCTGGGATATCAGCAGCTATCACGGCAATCTCAGCAAGCATCCAGAGACAAATGTTCACTGATTTTGGATATTCTTTCTTGCAGTGTTCAGATAAATGTTTTCCTGTTTATCATTCCACATTATAAGTACCAGTAATACAATAAAACGCTTCCACCAGCTAGTCCAACTTGAACAACTCATATTTTGCAGGTTTTCTTATCGTGCTTTATGGCCAAAAAAAAAAAAAAATTTAAAAAAAAAATTTTAACTTTAACTTCAACATTAAATTCCGCATTGAAACTGGGCCTAGCTCTTAAAAGAACACGTCCATCCGATTTCCAGTCAAAACTGGGCCCAGCTGTTGAGAGAAGACATCTGTTTGACATTTAGTTGCTAGGTCCATACCTCACTAAATGAAACTAGCCCGACAGTCTGGCGCTTAAATAAAACGATCAAGGCCTTTATTTCAGCAGGACCCAGATGGGCTGGCTAATGGTGTCGGTTGATTGGTAACAAAGCAATTTTACTCAATAGTGTATTAAACTTCTAAGGAAATCTAGTGTATTAAAAAAAAAAATTCTTTTAGGCCAAAAAAAAAAAAAAAAAAGTTTAAGGAACGGAGAGGAAGAATGGGATCGAAACTTAGAACTGTATTAAGTCTCAACTTTAATCACTAAACTAAGGCCATCGGTGCTAGATCAAGAACAGTTGCGTTGAATCCTTGAGGCCCCTCTTTCCTTCATATTGGGCGTGGGGAGCTGTAGCTCCTTTCATAATGCGTTATGCACATAAATAAAAGTAGCACAAACATTACTACATGTATTACCATTTGTGACCAGTATACCTCATGCATTATTGAGAGAAATTCATGGCCAAATAAATTGTAGAAAAATTGACCTGTGGCCACCCCTAGATTTGCTGATCGAGATTGAATCAAAAGCGCGAATAAAAGCCCAGCAAAGACAATCCATAGCAACTGTACAGATTTTCAAATTAAGTATGCTCGAGGTCTTGAAGGCATGGAGACACTAGTAGTGGAGGGGGGAAAAAGTTAGATATGAGCTAGAAAGCAGTATAGAATTACCTCGTATTTGTGGTCAGCACCAGCTTGCAAATCTGTCTCCACTGCATATATATATATATATGCAACTCATCATTTAGCCAAGTTTTTTTTATTAAAAAAAAAAAAGGACTAGAAAAAGAGTAGTGTCACACAATAAGGTTAGTTAGCGGGGGGTTACTCACAATTCCCAGGATCAAGATATGCCACAGAAACTAAAATCCCAGGACCTATATAGCCTAGGAGCTTCTTCCATGGAGATGATGTCTCCTTGATTTGAACTAATGCTGCCATTTTGGTCTATGGCTGAATGTAAAGCACAGTGGTAGAGCTCTTGAGTGTGTCTGCCTACCATCAATTTATAGACCTGAACAAGGTACAAGTTCTAAGAAATTTAGGCCACTTGACCAATCAGAAGCTCGACCATTGGGGCCAGAGTGTTGTTGCATCAAAATCATGGGATAATTTCAGAAATCTCAGAAACCTTCCCCAAGGTTTCTGATAATTTTACCTAGCTCCCTTTAATTTCGAAAATTAGGTATACACCCCTCATTTTCATGTACTTGGAACCCAATGTGCTTGTGTTAGCAAAAGATATCAAGTGGATATATCCCAGTATACGCCCCCGCGTGAATGATCCAGCGGCAGCGCCTCTCACCAGTGAACCTTGAGGTCACAAGTTCGAATCTCCGGTTCGCTAGATTCCTCCGCGCACTTAACGTATTCGGGCCGGGTTGG